TGTCTGTAGATGACAGTGAAGTAATGTTACTGATCCTTATTTTTGTGGTGTTTTACGTTTGTTCTTTTAGTGGACAGCAGCACTTCATAAATCGTGTATCATTCAAGTACTTACTGTCCCTTGAGTAGAAAATATGCTGTACAGCCATTTTCTCAGGGACCGCCTAAAAGTTTCTTCCTTGTCAGTAATTGCTACTTTGCTCTTTTGATAAACAGAATCTAGAATTTTTTTTCGCCATGGAAAATAATGTTGGAATTTCCAGTTATATTGAATGGTATTTCACTCTTGTTCATGTTTTTGGGTGATAGCTAGAATTTGAATTTGCCGCCACTTGTTTCTCATGGCATCCTCGGCTGGAATCTGATTACACATGGGCTGGCCTCAAAGAGTATTCAGTTAATTTATATTCTCAAGGAACATTAGATTGGCATTTGTCTCCTCGGAAGTTGTGAGTCATGTATGTCCTCTGTGCTCATTTGGAGGAAAGCATACTGAGTCTTCCGTCTCCCGTGCTTAGCTATGCTTGTGCGGAACTTATGCTTCAAAACTTCAGTAAAATACTGCACATGCTGTAAAGCACACAGAAATGTCCCAGCGACAGGTAGCAAGAGCAGCAGCAGATACTTAGTTTGCTTAATGTGAAATGCTTTCTAGTGCAGCAAGTATGTTCTGTCAAAAATGCTGCTCTGTATTCCAATAGGATAGCAATGTTTATAGTGTCTAAATAATAATAACAGTAACAACAATACCAAATCCTTATATAATGGTCCTCATCAGTACATTGCATGGTGATTTTCAAAAGAGGTCTGGCTATCCTCATTCTACAAATGAAGAAGCTGAGGAACAAAAAGGAAAAGTGATTTGCCCACATTCATCTAGAAGTTCACTGGCAGAAATAAAACGTGTGTTAGTATGATTTTGTGCCCACTACATGATACTATCACTTGTCCCCCTGCAATGTTCTGGAAGTTGCTTGCATGAGAAGCTTTCCTGACCCTATATAAAAGTGTAAGCCATAGTCAGGCATTATAAAGTTAATTCAAGTGTCTATTTCCTTGCCTTCTGCTGCAAACTACAAGTCTTCTCCCTGAAAAATGGTCTCAGTCACTGAAAAATGTAGATTCCACTGCCAAGGATCAAAATTTATTTGTTGTTGCTAGTTGTGAACTAATACAGAGGAATACAGAGTTTGTATTTCCGTAATAGTTAATTGCACAATAGTAACAGGTTATGAACAGAATTGAAGTCTGCAGGGGAATTTTTCCTTCCGTGTGTGCATCTTTTCCTTCTTCCAACTGCATCAGATGTCCAGGATGCTTTGCTTTATTTTCTTTTATTCCTTCTTACTGACTGATCACCTGGGATATTACTTGAAGCAGCCTACTTGACTTACTGCCACTTTTTTGGTTTCCTGCAAAGAAACATGGTGAGCATGAGGAAAACAGTGCAGGAAAGCAGAGAATGGAAAGAAGCACAAGGAATCAAAAGAGAGAAAAGGACAGAGAAGATAAATGTACACCAAGAACCACAAAGGAAGAAAGATCGACCAGAGGGAATTGATTTGCCTCTGTGGGGAGTTTACTAGTGGGGAGTTTACTAGAATTTGTGCTCTGTATTCCAAACTGGCCTTTTCCCAGTCTCTCCCATGCTATTCTCCTTCAGTCACTCCTGCAAGCTGTCTCACCTACTCGCCTCCCAGCAGAAATCATCTTTAGTCCTTGCAGAACACCTGAGAGGTGTAAAAAGCCTGTGCATAGCTGGTATCTGTTGACATGATATTGTCGTACTTCTTAGCTGCCTGAGGGTATGTGAAGATCATTTCCATTTTCTGCTGAAAGCTGCTCAGCAGGTTGAGAAGACAACAAAGTCTGCAGGTCTAAGTAAGCCCAGGAAGAACACACGCTGCCTTTGCCTTGATATGGCGAATTTGGGAATTGATAGTAGAATGCAGACTGGGAGAAGCATGACCAGAAAATGAAGGAAAAAAGAGGAGACACAATTGCACAGGAGGAGGAATACATCTTTGGAGGAAGGTACCCTTTAAAAAGAGGAAGAGACACAGAGCATAGTTGAAAGAACGTGGAAAGTGAGAGAAAGAATAATCTAGAGCTAGAGAAAAGGAACAGGAAAGCTGATCAGAGGGAAAGCTGAAAAGCTGTGAGCGACTGGGAAAAAGGAACAGTTAGACACAGAGAAAGAAGCAAAGATGGTAACAGAAAGAAAACAATGGGAAATACAATCAGCTATTTTTTCTTCCCTATAAAAAATATGCTGCAAATATATTACTACAAAATTAATATCTAAAAGTAATTGTTTATATAGAATAGAAAATGGGGACAAAACTCTAGAGGGGAAGTGACTGAAATAAATAGGCAGGTCCCCTTCCCTCAATGCAACAAATCTAAATGCTGGATTTGTCAAGACAGGGTTTTTTTTTTCTAATATTATGGTTGTATGTGTGTAATAGGAAAATATATGAAGCATTTCTGTTCTGATTGCTTCACTACTTCTCTATTATTACAGTTTTCACAATAAAATCACAAGAAATACAATATTGTAGCACTACGACCCAGTAAAATATAATTTAGGTGTTTTAGCACTATATATATGTCACAGACTATTTTAAAATGCAGGAAATGAATTTGAAATGAGAGTATAATTATTCTAGTACTTTGCACAAATTTGTTATTGCTGATTAACTAATATGTCATTATTTGTCTCCATTTAATGTGGAGTGCTGCAATAAGTTCTTGGGCATGTACTCATTTATATCTCCTCATAGCCCATTGCTCTGTCAGTACCCCCATTTCTAACTGAATGGCTGTTAAGAGAAGAAGAGAGTGAAAAAGAACGTAACAATGAGATACTAAAAACGATTCATGTACCAAAGTGTATGTAGAGAGACACGTAACAAGATTTTCAGACAGGTAGACGTGTATCAGTGGACGGAGAGATGTGTGCACACAGAAAAATTGAGAAAAGCAGTTAAATGAGAGCACATCATAAAACAAAATACTTCTCCTTCCAGGTTATGTAGATCACTAAGATCACCAACTGGCAATTAGGACAATGAACTGCATGCAGCCCACCAGCCAGCTACAAGGAGGAGCACACAGTAGCATCATGTTCACAAAAAATGAGGTTGATTGAACAAGAGCTCATTCAAACTTTTGTGACTTAGCAAAATGGAGAGGTATGCGGAGGAAGACCATAAAAGCTTTTATTCAAGAAACTGATTCACTCACTTGCAGAAAGATCACGAGTTTAGACATAAAGTAAGGGGCATCAATAAGCTAAGTGGCTCCAGTTTTTGTCAGTCCTTGGCAGGCATAGATAACAATGTTTAATCACTGACAAGAAATGGAGAAGTATAAACAAGGGGAACTGTGAACGTTAATAAAGACTGTCTTTAGGTGCCTACTTGTTCCAGCTGGATATTCTGCAGAGATTCGTGCAGAAATGCAGGATGTCAGAAAGGATGCTAATGCTAATCCCAACATGACATTGTGCAGAGTGCTCTAAAACGTGTCCACATGCTGCTTGAAACATGAATCCGGACCTCATGCTTGAGGACACTGCAGACACACTATCTGGAGGTAAATTCATGCTCAGACATGGGTTTTTGGGAAGCCGTACAGCACACTGGAAGAGGAGGTATGGGCCAACATTATCTCTTTGAACCGTCCTAGGCACGCAGCTTTCTCACTCTTT